ATAGCCTTGATGATTTCCAATCTCCGATAGGAGTGGCACAAAAAGAAGAAGATATCTATTTTGGCTCGGTTTAGATAGTTTTAGATTTAATTTGAATCAAACATCAACTGGGTTGTGATCAGAACCGTAGCACCTATAGCTACGTTAGTTTCGAATTTGAGGAAATTTCTTTATCTTCTTTTTTATCATAATATATGTAGTCTATCTGGTTTCTTACGATTTTATGCTCTGTATCCTGAGGTGACTTAGAGATAAATAATCTTCATGGTGGAAGCTTGTATAACGTGTTTATTATTACCATTTCTTTTTCTTGTCCAAATTCGACCAACCTTTCTCCGACTCCGATTGGGTGGCTTTTCTGATTGTCGCTTCCAGAATAGTATCTAATCTCATTGCTTTTTGGAGCATTTACCATTACCGGGCTATCTAATCTCACCAATTCTGAGAATATCATTTTTCAGTTTGGCCATTTCTGTTTCTAAATTATGTTAGTTACCAGCTTAAAAAAGGCTTTTTACTTTCCACGTTTCAATTTTTAAATTTCTAAACCAATGATAAATAATTGTCTTACACTTTTCCAATATTAATTTTTTGTGTTACCTACATATCTAATATTAGACGTAATAATGGCATCGGGCGTGATAGCGCAGACCCATCGCGAGTATTTATCTGTTTTACATGAGCGCGAGTATTGGAAGGTTACGATTAAAAAATAAAAAACATTCTATATCTAATGTAGGAGAAATTAAGAGAGCATTTTTTTAACTTCTCACCAATAAAATTAACTGACATACCTGTTTGCTTGAACAAATCCATATGAATAAAGAGATATCGCCCCAATCATTGCGTAGTCTGGTACCATCATTGCTACTGTTCTGAAAAGTACTTTTAAATTATCAGGTAACTCTTGTCGACCTGCATATCTAAAAATAAAGTATACATTATTATTTTAAAAGTTAGTACATCTTAAACCAAAATATAGTTTCTCTAGGTAAACTGTGTATTTGAGTTTTTTAGATCAAAACTTTAAAGACATAAATAGGACAGTATGTAAACTTAAAAGATTACTAGGCTCTTTCTTCACTTTCATCTTATTAGGTGTGTATCTTTTACAAAGTAAACCTTGTGCAATTTTCTTCTCTTTGGTAGTATGCCCATTTAACTAATTTTAGATGACAAAAGTGGATAAACAAATAAAATACAGAATTAAGAAAGCCAAAGACCAATGGCTAAAAGAAGAATGCACAGCAATGGAAGAATACCAGAAAAGACACGATAGTTTTAACACACATAAAAAAATTAAAGAATTAACTCACAACAATAGAACAGGAAAACCGGGAATATTGAAAGATCTAAATGGGAAACTTGTGTTGAATAATAACGACAAAGAGATGGACAGAATACGTCAATGGACTATTCAAACACAATAGAACAGAACAGATGGAGATAGAAGTAGAACAGGATATGGTTTTAAGGGTACTAAAAGAGGAAATTAAAATGGCATTAAAAAACAGCAAAACTGGTAAAGCGTTAGGTCTAGACAAAATCCCTATAGAAATCTTAAAATGCGTAAATGATGAAACCTTAGACATTATAGTAGACTTATTTAACTCAGTATACAAAACAGGACACATACCGAAACAATGGTTACTCTACACCTTTTATGCTACCCCTGAAAAAACAAATGCTAAATATTGCATATACAGAACAATATCACTAATGAGTCACATTTTCAAATTATTTCTGAAAATAATACATGGTCGTATAAATAAAAAACTGGAAGACGGAATAGATGATGGGTTCGGAAACGGACTAGAAACCAGAGAAGCGTTATTTACTTTTAATGTGTTAGCTCAAATATGCATGGATATGAATGTTGATATGCATGTTTGTAACGTTGATTTTGAAAAAGCATTTCACAAAGTAAGACATGAAAAATTAGTCCAAATTCTAAAGACAAAAAACATGGACCACAGGGGCTTACGAATAATAACAAACCTCTTCTGAAATCAAAGAGCACAAATCGTAATAGATAACGAACCCAGTCCAGAAATTGAAATCAGGAGAGGAGTTAGGCAGGGATGTATTATGTCCCCATTACTCTTTAATGTATATAGTGAAGCCATTTTTGACGAAGCATTACTATCTTAAGGTAAAGGAATAATAATTAACGGAAGATTTATTAACAACATAAGATATGCAGAGGACACCGTGATTATGGCAAGCTCTGCTGAACAACTCCAATTACTGCTAAACAAAACAAACAGTTTCTGTGAAAAATATGGACTTAAAATGAATATAAAAAAAGACCAAATACATGATAATAACAAAGAAAACAAATATACCAACAAACATACATTTGGGAAATGTACCGATAAAAAGAGTTGATAAATACAAATACCTAGGAACCTGGATTTCAGACAATAATGATCATCATCAGTTGGCGCTACAGCCCTTCGTGAGCCTTGGCCTGCTTCAAAACATTCTTCCATCCTTCCCTATCAAGTGTCTGTCTTCTCCAGCCCCTCACTCCAATCTCCCTCAGATCTTCCTGTACATCGTCCAGATATCTGAGTTTCTTCTTCTTCTTCCGACCAGCCTGTTTAGCTTAGTTATTTTAGTGGGATCACTCTCATCCATCCGCATAACGTTGCACACCCACCTTAGGCGGTTTATTTTGATGGTCTTTACCATATCTGCATCACCAAAAAGTCTATAGAGTTCAAAGTTATATCGTCTTCTATACAGACCCTGTTCGTTTACTCCGCCATATATGGCCCTTAATACTTTTCTTTCAAAGACTCGTAGTAACTCTTCATCTCGGGTCGTCATTGCCCATGTTTCCGATCCGTATGTGAGCACTGGGCGTATTATTGTTTTATAAAGTTTGCACTTTGTTGCTATTGACATACTTCTCGCTCTTAGTTGAGGGCCCAGGCCAAAATAACAGCGGTTAGCCACGCATATTCTTTTTTTTAAGTCGTTGGATGTGTTATTTTTGTAGTCTACCAGTGATCCTAAGTAGCAGAATTCTTCTACCATTGCTATCGTTTCGTGTTGCACCTCTAAGTTACTTAATAATGATCAAACAACCGAAATAAGAGCTAGGATAAAAATAGCAAGAAATGCGTTTGTAAAAATGAAAACAATTCTTTGCAACAAGGATCTTAGATTAGAACTGAGAGTAAGAGCACTGAGATGCTACGTGTTTTCGATACTACAATATGGACTTGAAAGCTGGACATTGAAGCAAGAACACATAAATAAGTTACAGTTCTTTGAAATGTAGTGTTATAGGAGGATGCTTAGAATAGCATGGACACAGAAGAAAACTAACACGGAAGTATTGCGAGAAATGGGCAAAAAATGCGAAATAATAAACACAATAAAAATAAGACAGTTATCTGGGACACGTAATAAGGGGACAGCGATAGGAACTGCCAAGGCTGATAATACAGAGAAAGATAATAGAAGGAAGAAGTATAGGAAAAAGAAGAGTGTCATGGTTGACGAATTTAAGGGACTGGTTTAAAGGCAGTTCTATAGAACTCTTTAGAGCAGCAGTAGATAAAGTAAAGATAATGTGAAGAAAATGAACTGATAATGTGTATGGATTCATATATATTCATCTATATATATATATATATATATATATATATATATATATATATAGAGAGAGAGAGAGAGAGAGAGAGAGAGAGAGAGAGAAAATCAAGTACTCATCTACTTACCCTGGATTCATAGTAATAAAAACTGTACATGTTGGATCCAACGTAATTTCAGTTCCTTCAAAGACAAATTTTGTAAGTTTAGCAGCTACCGCCATTTGTATACTTAAAATCTGTTGTGCTACTACAGACAGTACTTCTAATTCAATTCGATTAAACTCATCGAAACAGGCCCAAGCGCCTGCTTGAGCTAAACCCTAAAATGAAGTATTTAGCTAATTATAATTATAAAAATAATATACGCAACAAGAGAATCAGAACAGATGTGACAAAAGGGCAGTGAGTGCTAATTATTGTTATGAATGTATTGAATTGTATTGAATGTTATTCGGTTCCGCGTAGATACATAAGCCCTATAATTAGAATTAAGTTTGGGCAAGCTTGTTACCTTATCCAATTAATATTTTAACTAAAGTTCAGCCCAGATTAACAAATCGATGGAAATTTAAACCATATCTTATTTGAGTGTTCAAAGTATACTTTTAAGACAAATAAACTGAAAGAAAAATTAAAACAATGTGATATTTTTATTCTATAATTTATATTATCTAATTTTACTAAATATTAAAAAATATATGACTGCTTAACCTTTCAGTACACGCGCCTCAAAAAGTTGACTCCGCATATTGAAATAGCAAGTATGAGACGGACTAAAAAATTTTCTGATAAAATAAAACGAACTACAATTATTACAAATACTTATTTATTAATTATTTTGCATCTTATACACATTCATTACGAATATATGTGCACTGTTGTAAACACATATATTTTCCACAGTTAAAACATAAATATTTGGTCAGACGGTTCTTTTTTTCTGTCTCAGTAGCTGCAGTGTCCCCTTTGTTGGCCAATATTACCAGCTGCAGGCAATAGTGGATCTTAGGATTCAATCATTTCTGTAATTCTTAATGTCATTGATAATGACAAACAAAAAAGAGTAGCACGAGCATCAAGGTGATTATCAAAAAATTGTCTAGCTAAATTTTGTAAAAAAATATTCTGCTGGTAACATTATTGGGATTGTTGCAATAAAAAATAACATTTGCAATAATACCTGCAATATTTACGATCGAATAGAAAACTACCATTGGCCATCTCCTAGGCCTGTAATTATGTTTTGTTTTTAGGAATTGAACTAACTAACTTCAGCTTTTCCGCATACAACGCCTCTAACCGATTCATACTGTGTACCAGTTATCGGTAGTAACATTACTTCCTGATTCATATATCGCTTCTTCTTCTTCTTTGTCAACCATTTTCCATCCACTCCTAAATGTAGGTCTCTCCCAATTGCTTCCATCTTTCTCTATCTTGCGCCAATCTAATCCACTGTTTGCCTGCCACTGCTCTTATGTCATCTACCCATCTTTTTTGAGGTCTTCCCATGCTTCTTGTTGTCGTCCTTGGTCTCCATTCTAGAATTCTCCGTGTCCACCTGTTGTCATTATATCGGGGTACGTGACCTGCCCAGCGCCATTTCATTTTTGTAATTTCTTCCACAATATCCCTAGTCTTCGTTCTACGTCTTCTCTCGGTGTTTCTAATCTTGTCTCTTAGTGATTTTCCAAGCATGATTCGTTCCATTGCTCTTTGTGTTGTTTCTAATTTTTTGGCAGATTTTTTGGTAAGTGCTACTGTCTCCAAGCCGTAGGTACAAATAGGTAGTATGCATGTGGTTTACACCTTTTTCTTTAAGTTTATAGGAATGGAGGTGTTTTTCAAGATATGTGATAGTTTGCTGAAAGCGCCCCAAGGCAGTTGTCATTGGCAGTTTAATTTTAGCATCTTGACTTGGTTTTCCTAGTTTGATAACATGACCTAGATATACATAATGTTCCACATGATTCATATATGGGTTCACATAATCTCAACACTACCGCATTGGAAGAGTTGGTCACAGCATAATCATGGGCCATCAGGTTGCTGAACTACATAGACTCTAAGATTTGAAGTAAGTAACACTTGGCATCAACTATACTATAATTCCACTATTTGGAAAAGTGATTTCATCCTTTGAAGGCGGAGAGGTGGGGAACGACGTAGGAAAATCCAGAGGCGTACAATCACGGTATTTTTTAAATAGTATTTGTTCTTAATAGGCCACAATATATTTATTTACAGGTTTTTACTGACGCTTCGATATTTATACCCAAAGACCGTTTTCAAATATAATCTTATTTATATAATCACATATTATTTTTTTTGTTTTTTTTTTACTTTAAAACGATCTCTGGAATAGAAATTGAAACATCAGTAAATTAAACATGTAAATAACTACATTGTGGCTTATTTTCAACATTCTCCATAAAAATATAGAAGGTCACAAGCTATAGAAAAATTAATATATCTATCAATTGTATATTTGAAAACGGTCTCTGGATATAGAGATCGGAACGTCAGTAAATTAAACATTACAAGAAGCAAAAAGCTATAAAAAAACAAATAAGCAGAAAGCTTATTGATGCTATCCGGCTGTCGCGGCAGTTACGCTAAAACGTCTATTGACGTGACCTGACCAGGTTCTAATTTTGTAAGATTCTCTTAAACCAGCGCTAAAGTACTTCGGAAGTCATTTCTTCATGACAATCTCCTGTTTCTCTTAACTCAAATTGAAGTAAAACATCATCAAGGAACCCAATGTCACTTCCTATATTGATAATGATTAAACGTCGTCCCTTTCCTGAAGGAGCATTTAATCCTGTAAACCAGCCTTCTATAAATGCTTCGCGTTTACATTTAACATTTAAATCTTGCCAAACTTTTTCGACTGTATATCCTTCGTTAATCCAGGGTTCATCCAAATAATATATTTTCAGTCCAATGCTGCGAATTTTGCGTATTTCTTCTTAATATTTTTTATCCACAAAACATTTTTTTAAACATACTTTTTCTGTTGAGTTTTACATATCGAAAGTTCATTTCGTGCATAGTCCTGATTAATACTCTACGAGATATCTTGTTGAAGAAGTAATCGTTTTCGAGCTCTTGAGAACTTTTCAGTGTTGTAATTTCACTTCGAAAATAAAATGAATGAACAAATGTTTCGTTTTCCGATGTATTTTTGAACACACGATAAATACAGCTAACTTATACTTTTGTTAAACTGCTACAAATCTCGACCGCTTGGCTAAAATTTGATGCCATTTTTCTGCTGACAATTCCTTCATATCGTATCGCTACTTTCTCTTCTGACGTTAACATTTTCCGTCTCTTTTGCGGCTTTTCATTTTTGGAATCCACAGAATTTTGCTGTTTTATCTTGGAACAACTTGGTTGTTCGTCCATTGTATTTCAATAGTTACAGAATATACTTAACTAAAACTTCGCTATAAAACGACAAACTCCAGTAACACTCGGTTTATCACCACAAACTTCAATCGCCCAAAATATAATAACAAAATGCAAAACCAGCACTCCCGCCAGCACCGTCTATGTAAATGAACGTTTCTTGCTTCGGCATAAACGGTAGTGTTACCGTTGCGATGCTTTACAAATCCCCAAGTTGTCAAGTCTTTAAAACAGAATGGAAATGAAATGTAAAATATCGATTTTTATTTTATAAACATAAATATATAACGAAACGGAAATTGTAAATAAAATTTCATTACAATTTTGTGCTTAATTTTTTACTATTGAAAAACTCATTTTTTTGGTATTTTTATGACGGTAATAATCGCTATGTCGAAGAATTCAGGTTTATTTTACCATAATTGATACTTATGAACAAGAATAAGCTACACTGTACGGCAGCTCGTGGTTAAATCTGCCATAGAAAAGCACAAATAAATGTTCTAATTATATATTCGGTGATTTCTTATGAGAAAACGCATATTAAACTGGTAGTTTTCGACGGCCGCTATGTACATTTAAGTTTAAGGATATTCGGTGCTTAAACGATGAAATCACTCTTCCAAATAGTGGATTTTTACTTTTGGGCAAAAATGTTAATCCCTTATTCATTGGGTTTATTTGGAATGTATTGCATAAATGAAAAACGCCCTCGAAATGCTTTCAGTTTCTTATCCTATGTTACCAAATAAAAAAGACTGTAAGCAGTTTTGCAGTTGGTAACGGCATCAAATTTTTTCCGTATGAGTGCTAACTTCTCCAACTTCTAAGTGTCGTAAAAGAAATTCATACCTGTTTAGAGACATTACAAGTCAAAATAATTTCACCCCTGTTTCTTGGGTATTGTATAAGTCTCGTAAATTTAAGCGACTTGATTTTACGACGCCTGCTAATTACAACAATCCAAAGAGTGCTTAAAGCTCGCACATGTCCGTAGGTGATGTATCTCTATCACGAGAATAATTGGCTGTAGTTGAATCAATATGCTGATTTGTATATTCGACAATAAGTTTAAACATATCTGTATTAAAAAGGTATTTCCAGATTTCAAGTGGTTCTTTCAATATTTTAGTAGAAGTTTTCGTACCAAGTAAATGTTTCAATAAATTTACAGATCTTCTTTTAACATTATTTGATTCTTTTTTTTTCACTTAGTAGATTTGTTTTTGCAAATAAAAAATGCTTCTGTGATAGGAGATGCTTTCACTTAAATATCCGAAATAAAATATCTTCTTCGCCCTCTAAATTATCATTTTTTCTATACATAATCTTTTTCTTATTGATCATCATTATAGAAAGGTTCTTCTGCCTCTTCATCTAATAATGTTTCCTCCATCAATTTTTGAAGGCGGTTCTGCTCAGATTCGTAAGGCGCCATCTGGAAAAAATAAACTTGCGTCTACAATTGAAATCAAATATTATGGAAATATATGCTCAAATACTAACTAGAATAATATAAGTTGAAAAAAATATGATCTTACCATTTGTTAATTAAATACTCCAATATAAAACCTATGTCAGTTACACCAGTACAAGAGCGCGGACTCTCAATCCGCACTTGCTTGTAATTTAGAAAAAAATTAAGATACTAAATTCTCAGTCTAGACTAACATAAAGCAGCCGAGTGGATGAAGACTTACAAAGCGGCTAAACAAAATAGTAAGAGGTATGACAGAAATTTTATATTTCAATCAAACGCGGACTGTCAGTCCGCACGCGTGTGGTGGAAGGTTAATGGAATTTATTTACAAAAGTAAAATCAACTTTGTTTATAATTCTTCACCTTTATTTTATCTTATTTGTATTTGTCTCCTATTCGCGACCCACTCTAGTTGGGTCTAAATGAAATGTCTTGAATGGTCCCTAGACGAGAAATGAGTGTCCAGGTCTTACTCTTACCTGAACACCTTTCATACTACACTCATATTACTATTATGGTAACATTTGTATTCTTTTCTTTCTTACTGTTTTTTTTTTCTTTTTAAATTTATAATAGACTTGTTGTGACTGACTCAATGGCGGTAACCAATAACAAAAAAATATATGTTTTTGAAACCTATTTTAGTTTTAAATAATTATTATATTGTGTTGCACCTTGAAAAATTTGCCTAAAGCTTTGTAATCGAGTCCATCCGAACAGTTGAACACTACACATTTCTTAGCAACAGCTTTGGCTAAATCTTTGCATGTTTCTGTTTTACCAGTACCCGCTGGTCCTTCAGGAGCGCCACCAAGATTCAATTTTAGAGCACCCATTAAAGTTCTGTAAATAAAAGATTAAACATATAAATCTAAAAATTATAATCCGTAAACTAAATTTCGAAACCAAACTCTGTCTTTCTAAACTGTTTTTTTCTTTTTAAAAATTATACTGTAACCAAATATAGCAGCCTAAATAGATAATGTTAAGTATTGTTCTTAAAATATATTTTTAAATGTGTTCTAAATAAAGAATATATAGAAACTACCACTAAGTTATTTTTAATGTGATCTAATAATTCAATTTCTACTTCTTCTTGATTTTAATATGTACATACCTGTAGCATCTATCGGTTAATGGTGTAGCCACTAGCCGTCCAGTATTTCCCAAATATTCAAATCCATACATTACCTCGGTCGTTATCATACAAACGCTAACCATCAAATCCCTCCAATAATAACGTAACTGAGCTATCCAGTTGAAATCAGCTACTGATGTTACTTTAAGTTCTTTTAACATTTTAACAATATCCCTACCTGAAATATAAATTTATAAATGCAGTATTTTTTCTACTAATAGTGCTTCAGTGCTTTAATGGGTACTTACCATGAACATCGATAACAATAAGAGCTTCAACAGTAACTTGAGTATTTGCTTTCAATTTTCCTTGTACCATTTTAACACTCTGTTCTATTTGATGAGTGCAAAGATGTTCCTGTTGTTCTAAAGCTCCGCCAAAAATTGCGTCTGTGACTTCAGTGGTCCACATTATACAATCGACACACTGCACGATTTGACCAGGCCAATTAAGAATCCATGTAGGCCTATCAACAACTGGATAGTTGTGTATAGAGTCCCTCATAACGTCTTTGACTGATTGAATCATTACTCTTTCTACCTGCACTAACCATTTTTCCACCATACCCTAAAATAATTATAAAATATACATCCTATGATACATAATAGCAAATATAATAGAAAAATATCTAACTCCTTTTCGCGCAGAAAAGTAAACATTATATCAAATATTCACGTTGACACAATTTCTGGAAAAGACAAAGGAATGGGGTATTGACACATACCGTATCTTTGTTGTTTTTACATCTGCTGATGACAGTATAAACCCTTTGCTATACACTTTAAGAGTTTGGAATATCAAATTACTTGATTAACTTAAGAAAATTAACTACCGAAAATGTGAAAGCAGAGTTCGATTAGGTGGACACTTTGGTTGTATTGGCTGTGTAGGCTAAATCATGCAGGACATAATACTGATGGAAAATGCATTAAGGCAATAATTGGTCTAAAATCTTTTCAGATCACAAAAAACAAAATACCTTCTTCACATTCAACATTTTTTTTGGGCATGCGTATTTATAAGTGTTATGAGGTTTTGAAACATCTTTATTATTGCACTTTGGTTGTATTGGCTGTGTAGGCTAAATCATGCAGGACATAATACTGATGGAAAAGGCATTTAGGCAATAATTGGTCTAAAATCTTTTCAGATCAAAAAAAAGAAAATACCTTCTTCAACATCACAAAAATTATATTGAAATGATAGTATCCACTGAGGTTAAATATTCCGGAAGCAAATCGAGCCTTTGTTCGATAACAGGTGATCTATTTTTGATATCTCTACTTTTTACAACTGTCACCAAAGCATTTTCGCCAGAAGCAGCAATTTCATGATTCTAAATTTATTTACCAATAATTCTTACCTTGGCGTCTGCTGGTACAATTTTCTCGCTTAACGGAACTTTTTCCCTTTCTACACTGATCATACCGATAACTTCTTCGTCTCTTGTAAACTCTAGTTGATGAATACCTTCAAAGCACTTCTTAAGATGTGGTTGTACACGTAATGGATCTTTGGTTTCAGAAAGTATTTCAAGCAGTTCATCATTGGATAAAAAGAAGAACCTAAAAGCATATCAGGTTATAATGTGGTTTTAATAAACAAAATATATACAAACCTCGGAAAGAACAGACGCTTCTTCTCTAAATAGTCGTTCAATCCTTTCTGAATCTCATCCAACATTTTATTGTTTTCTCTGAGCAAAGTGAGCATGTTTTTATAGTCCGTGGCTATCAAAACCCGTGTATCTTTCATCGTGTTATTTTGAATAGCTCTCCATACTCTATCTACCAATTTAAAGTTTCTAGCTTCCGTTGGCATTTGTCGCATTATATCTTCAGATCCAAATATGGGTTCCAGGTACATCCAAGTAGCCTGACACTGTAATAGAATGTTGCAATAAATCGAGTATAAAAAATAAATCTTTTTAAAAAAGAAATAAAAAGTTATAAGTAAAAGTAACGAAAAACACGAAATATATGAAATTAAACAATGAAAAGAAAGAAAAACAATATGAAAATAATTATAATTTAATAAACAATATTAGGTGTTTTTACATGGTAAACTAATAACGGATTTTTTAAACTATGCTTTCTCAAATATTTAAGAATAATCCTTGTATCGGCATGTAAGTAATATTTATTTAATTTCAATTTTACTAAATTATTTTTTATTTAATTTGTATTTAATCAATTTAAATTATTATTTAATAATCACACACATATAATATTGGCATAATTGCTATATATTCTGTACCAGACAGCACCCTAATACGAGTTATTATATTTTCAGCATTTAGTTTACCATGTACCGTTGACCTGAAGGTGCATAGCAAATTACATTATGCGAAACTGGTCCATGATGGTAGAATAAATTACTTGTGAGTAAGACTTATTCTTATTTCTTTTTATCTATTTGAAATGGACTTGCACAAGCAACATATTCAAGATTAATATATTTAATACTTACAATAAGCCATTGCTCTAAAATATCCTGCATGGAAAGCAACTTTTCTTCCCAAGCAGCCATCTCGTCTTCAAATGCCTTTACATAGGGAGAACCTCTCATCGTTTGAGCCTTTAGGATGTGGTCGTCCATCATTACTTGTATATCGTCTACAGCTGTTAATATATTAACACCGGTTTCTCTGAAAATGTGAAATTTTATCAAGTATACTGGTACTTATTAATCATCTATAATAGTAGGTATATATATCTATAAGAGTAGGTACACCACATAAAAAATACTAGAGTACAAATTAGTAGGGAAAAGGGAATTGTTAAGAATATATTTGTCAAGAGGTTAGAGTAGGGAATTTTACTCATTAAAGTAAAAGCAGTAAAATTCGCTACTCTAAGATCAAGATCTATGGAACCATCAACAAAAATTATAATTTAATATAATGCTATAAAATCACTTATTTATACATCTAGATTACTATTTAGATTAAAATACAGAGTTTGCAAGAAAATTAAAAAAAAAAACTATAATGGAATAAACTTTTACCTGTAAGGTGTAAGTTCGAACCGTATATCGACCCACTCTTCTTTCATCTTTGCCAAATTAACCTGTAGAGCATGTTCTTTGGTAGCTCCAGCGTTGATTTCTTCCAGCTGAGTAGTAAATTTAGGCAAACCAGCATCAATCATATCACTTAAAGTGGAATCTTCAGTTATCGCTAAAGGCACACCGACAATTTCGGAGATCTGAAAATTATATTGTTTGTATATATGTATATATATATACATATATATATATATATATATATATATATATATATATATATATATATATATATATATATATATATTTATATATATATATATATATATATATATATATATATATATATATATATATATATATATATATATATATATATATATATATATATATATATATATATATATATAGGGGTATCAAATAAACAGAATCATTGAGAGACTGAAAAGCCATTTAGAGAGAATTTCAAAATTCAAGGTCAAATATAAAATCAAGACCAACACAAAGAAGACACAGTTCATCACTGTTAACCATTCAATCTACCCATCGAGAGAAGAGCTTATAATAAGATGAAATAAAATCCAACAAGAAGAAGTCGTCAAGTACTTAGGAATCCACCTCGATAAAAGGACTCAACGAAATTCATAAGAAAGCAACACTGGCAAGAAGTTATTCCAGTCCTACATATTCCAATTCCGTGGCAGAAACCAATTAGAAAAAGCCTAGAAAAATGGAGACGGCTACTGCAGACTCATCGATGGATCTCTACAGGGTGACAAATTCAAATATATACTGAAGCTTCCAGTAGACACCACTGAGGGAGTTAACCGTGAAGAGGACGAGGAAATTCTAGAATCAACCCAGAATTATACACCGATTGACCATCTAATCAGGGTCTAGCCAGGTTGTTGCTGAAGACAGTAAGGCAGTATGGTGTGGCCTACTCGACCTACTGAAGCAGACGCCCATATAAGGTCCATATATATATATATATATATATATATATATATATATATATATATATATATATATATATATATATATATATATAACTAACTAGCTACAAGGGTGTTATACCTAAATTTTACGCTCTGCCCAAAATTCACAAACCACAGCTTGCAGTTCGTCCCATTGTTGCATGTATTGGTGCCCCCACCAACTTATTAGCATCTTTTTTAACTGAAATCTTATCCAATGCATATGTGTCAAATGAATATTACATAAAAAACTCGTTTGATGTTTTCAATAACTTTAACAACTATCAATTACCTGATGGCTATGTGATTGTCAGTCTGGATGTAGTTTCATTATTCACCAATGTTCACTTAGATGCAGCTTTAACAGCTATTGAAAACAATTGGAATTTTATCAGTTCTCACTGTAATATCCACTTGGAGTACTTAAAAAAACTCATATCTTTTCTGTTTAATAACACCTATTTCACATTCAATAATATTGTGTTTAAACAAACACAAGGAACTCCTATGGGAGCTACTATCTCTCCCATTTTGGCCTGCTATGTGATGGATCATCTATTAGATATGGTTATACCAGAATTGTCCTTTCATATTCCTTTTGTAAAAAAGTATGTGGATGACTTAATCCTAGCTATCCCCAGCAATGGATCCACAGAAATCTTAAATGTATTTAATAGGTATGATCCTCTACTACAGTTCACAATCGAACATGAGGACGATCTATGCTCAGTCCCCTTTCTTGACACCCGGTTCATTAGAACCCCAAATAACTCCCTTGTTATCGACTGGCATAGAAAACCTCATAGTTCTGGACGCTTCCTCAACTATTGGTCATACCATAGACATTCAATCAAAATCAACCTACTTAAACAAATGAAGGCTAGAATCATTTCCATCAGTGACCCTTCTTTCCACCAGAAGAACCTAAGAATCCTGTTCAACCTTTTCATGGACAATTCATATCCAAAACCCTTAGTCACCAAAATTCTATTTAGTTTGACCCCTAACATAACACGCCGAAATGATGAGATACTAATCAATGCCACAAATGGAGAACATAATACCAATTGCTCATATACCTCACTGAAATACATCAAAAGCATAACACCCAGACTAACAAGACTTTTTAAAGATGTCACCAATTTGAAAATAGCTTATAAAACATCATTAACGGTAAGATCCATATATTCTAAGGTTAAAGATAAAAGTAACATCAAAGATTGTTCCAACGTTGTCTACCAAATCCCTTGCAACAACTGCAATTTAATATATGTGGGACAAACCACACGCAACCTAGGCAGTCGCCTAATCAGTCATCGTAGCGACAGTAGACTATACCCAGAAAGATCTGCACTGGCAGAACATGTAAATAAAGAACATCATATTATGAATTACGATTCAGTTAAAATTTTAGCTACGGAGTCCAATTACAATAAAAGACTCTTTTTAGAAATGGCATTCATTGCACAAAACTCAAATGCAATGAACAAAAGGAGTGACATTAATCAATTGAGCACTATATACTCCTACCTATTATATTTGGATGGATCATCACATTTCAATGATGTTTCAATGACTGATTCATTGTAAAGTTTCCAGGTTTCGTTATATTTTTCACAGTTTCTTTATTAAATTCTGTGTTTTTTTTTCCAATACAACCTTTGTCAATAATTTAATGTGTAACAATAGTAGTACTACATAAGACAAAGAAATAAGAAGAAGTACTGTCATTTGCCATGTCCAGGAATGACAGTTACTCTTAACCTTTCATTCAACAGTTGGCCGGCACACGTGGCCGTTGTAAACTTTTTTAACTGTCTTTTTCTTATGTGTTAAAGTATAATAATTTATTAAGTTTGGTCTTATACACCATGAAATTTTTATATGTGTTAAATATTTTAAAATTTGACTCAATCAATGAGTGGTGCGTAATATTGTCACCTGTAAGTGAAACATCCACGAAAGACGAACCTCAATAACGTAAGTTTTTATCGTTTTTTAAAAAAACCATTTTCTACAACTAATTTCGAGGATGATTTACTAACAGTCGCACTTTATTTTCGGTTTTTCCTGATGATGAAAATAAACATCGAAAAATTTTCGAAAGCTTGAAACTTAGTTAAAAGAGTACACTTATTTCACCGCTGAATAAATCCCAATAAACCTCAAAGCTCCGTTTTCTAACGTTGTCAGCAAAGACTTCTTTTCTTTTTCTATATATATATATATATATATATATATATATATATATATATATATATATATATATATATATATATATATATATATATAGGTCTACTGTCTAGGGGCAGTAGATTCATGTATCCGAAGGAGGTGCGGTCCCAAACATTAGTCGGTAACAGTGACGGAGAAAGAGAAGCATAAATAAAATACAATTAAAATATTGTAATGGCAATATGATAGGCGCTCAACTTTTTTTGATGCGTTTTTATTTATGTATTTATTTTGTTTTGATCCGCGAATCTGATAAAAAGTAAATTTGTTTACATATTTGTTGTGTCTCTGTCTACCATCAAGTAAGTATAGCAGCGTATTTTTTAATGGAGGGAGAGAGAAAGAGTGAGGTATTTTAATGCGTTAGAGAGAGACACATCGAATAAACACATGACATTGTGTCAGTATGTGAGGCCGATAGGCTCGGTCTATGTTAATATATACGCATTGTTTAAAAAAGAAATATACGTCTATGTATAATAATAGAAAAACATTGGAATTGAGGTCTACTCAACAATCACAAGACGGCTATAATTGGTATAATCGATTTATACATATAATGCAAAAAATAGATCAAACTCTGCGATCATTGATTTTTGACACATAGTCACCAGAAAATCATAATGTATCACTAATATATAATAATAAATGAAAAATGTTTAACTTCCTTCCACATTAGATACGCCTGCAAAAAATTCTGCAAAAAATATATAATATAAAAAATCAATGATTCAATTATTCGAAATAATTATTATTAAGATGACAACTTACAAGAAGTGCAACAATGGAATAACAGAAATTAAACTACTCCATGTAAGTAAATGACAAACTGCTGCTCCATCTTTCAGCTTTTTAAAGTACCAACTAATTTATTTAATAGATAGTTTAATAGATGGCGCTAAGTGTATTACGATATTTTTAAACGGGTAATAATTAAAATAAATCATAATAAATAAAAACTAATCCATTTATTTTATCTCATAGAATATTCCAACTGTTTAAACGTATTTATATATTGCAATGTATTATTTACCTTATCCCAATGTCTCTTTTGCAATCCTTTATTGCAAATTGTTTGCAAAACAGGTAGAAATTGCTTAAACTTCTCGACTTTTGCTCGAACCATTTCGGCTATTCTTTTCGCACCTGGATTATCACTGAAGGTTTTTGATAATTTATACAAAGTTCTCCAACAGTCTTCAGTATAATCTGTAATTTCGTCGGCGTCGAGGCCTTGGAAAGGGCCATAATACCTAAAACGAAATGTTTGATTATAAAAATGTACAGTTTTGGAAACATTACGAATTGTAATAACTATTTATAATAGAAATGATCTGAAACAACAAAATATATGATTTTCGTTGTTTTTTAATCACACCAGGTCTTGTTTATTCACTAAAGTATGCCAGCAAAGTAATCTGCTAATCTGCTAATTTATCTTGCAAGGCTGCATATTATTGTTAAAGGTTAGAGTATAAAATAGGATAAAATATTTTTATCACCTAAAAGATTATTTTAGCACAATTTAAATTAGATCCAAAACTTTTAAGTCCACAGGATCACATAATCCCTAGTAACACACGACGTCCTATGGACGTCCAATATACGTCCAGTTTTGGTCCGGACGTCCCTGGACGTAAAATGGACGTACTATGGACGTACGAAGTGGGACGTACTTTGGGTGGACCAAATATGGACGTTCTCTGGACGTCCGTACTCGGACGTTCCCTGGACGTCCATACTCGGACGTTCCCTGGACGTCCGAACTCGGACGTTTTCTGGACATCCGACATTTACCAATTATGGGATCAAATAGCAAATATTTCAATAAAATAAAAAATTATTTACGTTAATAAAATAATTAAAAGCGAAAAGGTTAAATCACAATTAATTAAAAATTGTATAGTTTAATATATCCAAAACATGTTTTTGTTTTTAGGTAAAGTGTAAAAATCTTTTATTT